TATTACGACTTTAATCTCGTAAAATTATGACTTTAATCTCGTAAAATGATGACTTTATTCTCGTAAAATGATGACTTTAATCTTGTAAAATTATGACTTGAATCTCGTAATAACAATTTAAAAATCGCATTGTGTGGCCCTAATACGCCGTCGTATTTTCTTGCTTTTCAGCTACTTTTATGTTAGTTTCAGCATTTTCAGCAGTTGATTTCATCAACACTACATKTTCACTGGATATGTAAATTTTCTCATTATGTAATTCTAATCAGAGTGTCTAATTTTATTGTTTGGTGTTTCTGTGTCGTCTGTGTTGAACAGGTGCTCGGGGTGATAAGTAAGGAGTTGATTCCCAAAGGGACGTGTTTTGGCCCTTTTGTCGGGGAAAGCTACACCAACGAAACTCTGCCAAAAAACGCTGACCGAAGATACTTTTGGAGGGTAAGTGAAGAACGAGGGAGAGTTTCAGAACCGTTCACATCCTGCACCTCCAGCTGGAGAGGAGACGGTGGCTGTGTTGTGGCGCAGGGTTAGCAGTTGTGGTCAAGGACTGACATCCTGTTAAAGTTGAGTCTCTGTGCCAGTGCTCGGGTGCTGCAAGCAATGTGCCATGTATGCAAACGTATTTGCCATCACAAGTTTCTCGTTTCACGCTTTCTCTCACTCTCCCACACACACACACAGCTGTTTGGTTTTAGTGACGCAGAGTTTCTTCTCTTTGCTTCTTTCAGCAGTGGTATCGCTGCCAGTAAATACACCATACACATGTCCTCGCTTCCCCAGACTCACAAACTTTCACACTGACTAAGCAAGGAAGTGGCTTTCAGCTTGAGAACTGTGATGTTATAATATAAATCAGCAGCATCACATCTTCCATTACACACACACACACACACACACACGGACTCTTCTTTGTAACTCCACAGGTTTGCAACCTTGAAATAATCTAAGCTCAACCAAAACTTAAAGCAGCCATAACAGAAATGGTTGGTTCGTCGTGACTCAAGCAAAGTCATGCTTCAAATCTGCAGACAGCATCAAAAAGGGAGACGGGAGAAGGAGGAGGGTACCGCCACTACAGTTGTGATAACTGATAGTAGTCGTGGGCGTTAGACGAGTAGTGTGATCCAGTCATACACAGAAAACCTTGTTAGTTGCTTTCAAAACTACAGATGATCTGTGCCGCCACAAACAGCCGCAGCCTCAGCTGAAAGAATGTATATTATTTACCATAAACAGTTTGGGGAAACCATGACATCATGATTTCAGAATGAGGGCATGTCGGCATGGCGTGCCATTTTTAACTGAGTTTTTCGCCATGTCACGTTATAGGTATTCGCCGAGGGGCAGTTACACCACATCCTGGATGGTTTGAACGAGGAGCAGAGCAACTGGATGCGCTACGTCAACCCAGCACGTTCTGCAGAGGAGCAGAATCTGGTCGCGTGCCAGAGTGGCTTGGACATCTTCTTCTACACTATTAAGCCACTGCAGCTCGGCCAGGAGCTCCTGGTGTGGTACTGCTCTGAGTTCGCCGAGCGCTGTAAATACCCTCCACTGGGCCAACTGACTGTTGAGAAAAAGGGTAAGTGTGGGATCATTTTTTTTGTGACCACGCTTTGAGATGCTTGGACAGTCACTACTAACCATGTTTCTATCAAGGTTTTTTAATGCGCATTTTGAAGTATCGCATCAGAAACGGCTTGATTCGAAAAAACTTCCTCTAATTCGCATCAAAGTTGATACGCTCGCTTGAGGTGGTTTTTGGGTTTTTCTAAAAAGAGTTAAAGCGCAAAAAGAGAGATGGAAACACATTTTTTCTAATCAGGTCTGACGTAGCGAACATTTACTTCACATGTTGATCAGCTGTTCCCGCTGTCTGTCCGAAACTGGTCCCAGTGTTGTACGAAATTCCCTGTGAAAATCTGTTCCCCCTAGTGGTTAACCTTAGAGAGAATCACTGGTCCAGGCATAACGTCAGACCAATCCTATGAGGGAGGCGCTTCCAACACAGGGGAAACAGATTTTTATAGGGGAACTGAATTTCATACAACACCGGTACCAGAGCGACTGCAGCTGGAACCTCATCCCACTGTCAGCGTATTCGCAGTTATTCCCGTAACATGAAAAGAATTGCATTTCTTTCTCTACGTCTCCCGACCGCATGTAAAATCGTCAAAACTAGTTGATGACAGAATAATAATAACTTTCACGATAGTAACAACACGTTCCTGATAACTTATCTCCATTTTCCTGAGATGCGATTTTTACTTCCTGTTTACCACACGCATGGGTCTGACGTAAATGATTCGCTTCAAGCCAGTTGATGGAAACACGTCTGATTCGCATTTCTTCGTTTTTTTCCTTTTTGCAAAATTTAAAAAATTTGCTCAAATTTCGAATTAAAATTGGATGGAAACACTGCGACAGCTTTCTGTTAAAGCAGTGACCGACTGACACGCTCTTTGCATGGCTGCTAAAAACACCCAGTCACACCCATGGCCCCCTTTGTTAAAGCAGAGCACAAAGAGTCATAGTAAAGACCTGAAAACAGAGAGGGGTTTGTCTACAGGTGCAGCACCAGAGTAAAATGAGACCAATTTTAGGCAATAGTTTCCCTTTTTTAAAAAACACCCTCAGCTGTTCACTTAGATTATATTTATGAACACAAAGAAACACCATCAGAAATACCAAATTAAAGCACAAGATGCTCATTTATGCACAGAGGTAACCGTCAGAGGTACTGATGGTATTTTGGCACGACTCCCCTTATTTGTTTTGCTCTTAAAAGTGGAAGAGACGTAGGAAGTCTTCCAGTGACTACTTTAACTTCCTGACAAGGTGACCTGCTGAAAGATTGATATCTTGCTCAGTGTGTGTTGTTTGTTTGCTAAGAACTGGCCTCTCTGGAGATGGCGGGGGGTGAGGGGCCGTGTAAGAAGGGAGTGCACAAAAGATAAGGCTTGTTCTGTTTCATGTGGGTTGATGTTAACTGTGTTCAAAAGTGGGTTAAATACCTCTGTATTTTGTCTTCCCCTGTCACCGCTCGGGCCTCACGTCTAGTCTACAGTAAGGCAGAACTCTTTATGTCTAGGTGATATCGCTGGTTCATCAGTCACTTTAGGATCAAAACTTGTCTCTTGTATCCTGTTTCCTGTGTACCCGGCTCTACTTCTGATAAAAACACACACTTACAAATGACCAACTCTTTAATGTAGATAACGTACTGTATTTACTATCTTAATGCTATCTCTGCCCTGATCAGATCCCCATTGTTTCACTTCTGGTGTCCACTTTCCTAGAGTTCAAAGGTTTTGGCACACCTGATACACATGTAACACTTCTAAAGAGAAACAGCTACCGAAGCCTAAGCAAAACCTTGTATGTACTTCTAAATGTAAAGAATATAATTAAACAAAGAACACATGCTTGATCACGTTATTTTAGTGTATATCAAATGGTTGTACCTCTCTCTAATTCCCTGTCTTCCTTTTCTGTTTTCTAACAGAACAGAATCAAGCTTGTGCAAGGACAAAAGAGAAACGAGGGCACAGTGTCTCTGAAATTCTCCGCGACGAACCCCCCAAATCTAAACGCCCAAGACTTCTGGACAATTCCATGAATCAGACCACCTCAGTTTTCCCCTCATGTTCCGGCATCTTCTACCCAATCCAGCCCAACTCAGCTTCCGTCCATGGCCACGGATACGCTTCTTTAGCATCTCTACAGTCCTTCAGCTCAGCAGCTGCCAAAAGCCCAGCCCTAAATAGTTTAATCCCCACCAGTCTGCACCACACCTTTCGGCACAGTCGAGACCCCATGAAAACCAAACTTTACCAAGAACCCTCTGTGCCTGATCATGTTCACTCTGCTCGTCTCAGCAATCCCTATCAGCTGCCTCGCTACCCTCTTGGCCTTCTACCACATTCACCCCCATTCTACAGTGATCCACTTAAACCACACTTGCCCATGCCATCTAATTTCCCACCTTTTGACACATATGCACACGTTTTACATCCTCTGGCAGGTGGATACAAAGACCTGTCACTTGCACCGTCCATTTCCAAACAAGACCTCACTCTTTCACCAATCGGTGAGCACAACAACAGCTTCATTTCCCAAAAGACAAACTACCTCAAGAATCCCTCAAATGACCTCAGAGACTTCAAACACTCTGCTTGTTGCAGCATTGACTCAGACCTCACTATTACTACGAAGGGCAGCTCTCCCCTCATTGACCATGAAGTCCAAAGAGCACCCTCACATGGGGCATGCTCGCCACCTACGAGCGTGGCTGCCTCTTCAAACTACCTTCCTTCCATATCTACCTCTGCCAATCAGGACAATACTGAAGATGCACTGGACCTCAGGCGGACAAAGAGAGAAGAAGGGCAGTTCATTGGCTACAAGACCTTGTCTTACCCTCTCCCCAGGCAAAACGGAAAGATTCGGTATGAATGCAACATTTGTAGAAAGGTCTTCGGGCAGCTGTCCAATCTTAAGGTTAGTGCCTTATTTCTATATCAAAACCTCTCACCGTGACTAAATTGAGTTAAGTGAGCAAAAAAAAACCTGAATTTGTAACGTTTTGTTATCAGGTCCATCTACGAGTGCACAGTGGTGAGCGTCCCTTCAGGTGTCAAACCTGTAACAAGAACTTCACTCAGCTGGCACACCTGCAAAAACACTACCTGGTCCACACAGGAGAGAAGCCTCATGAGTGCAAGGTTAGTCTTTTATAGAAGTCTTATAACATTTGGAAGTGTAAAGGCTTAGTTCAGATACTTTCACGTATATAATACGAAACATTTTTAAATACTTGTTTAGACATCGAGGTCAGAGTTATTTTCAGTTTGGAGTAAAAGGAGAAAAAAAATCTCAAAATATTTTACATCAAGTAAAACATTACTCAGAAAATGTTCTGCTTTAGATAAACTAATACCTCCTAAACGTTTAGGAATTCAAACAGATATGTTTTAATTTTTTACACCTGATTACTTTTGTATTAAAATAGTAATGGACTGAGTATGCTTAACAAAATCTTTTGTCCAACTAGTGTTTCACACAAAAATAATAATTAAAGTCTTTAGAAATAACAATTTGATGCAAAACTGACTGGATAAATGTAGAATCGAGCGTTCGTTTTCAAAATTTTAGTAGTTTTTGATGTTGGAAATACACTCTTAATTTCTGAGTAGTAGTTATCTTGACCATGAAAGCTTCTCTTTGATTCTCCAGACTGAAAGTACTTTGACTGCTGCCCAAGTAAGATACCTGCTACTCAGAAGTATTTCATGCGATCTAAATTTAAATCATATGAACTATCCTTGTAAATTAAATTATTGCGCTTGCATCCACTAGCTTAACAGAGCATAACTGAGCAGTAGACACATAAAACAAAAAGAACCAACTGACACAATGGTACTAATTATACATATTTTACGCTCTGCTTTGTTCTAAAACAGGTGTGCCACAAGAGATTTAGCAGCACTAGCAACTTGAAAACCCACCAGCGGCTACACTCGGGGGAAAGGCCTTACCAATGCAAGCTCTGCCCAGCTCGCTTTACACAATTCATCCACCTGAAGCTCCACAAACGCTTACACACAGGCGAGCGCTCCCACCACTGCCCTCGCTGCACCTGCGCCTATCTCCACTACTGCAGCCTACAAGTGCACCTCCGAGGCTTCTGCCCTCTGTCCCCCTCAGCGTCCCGCCGCCTCTCACCAGAGGAACTGCATCGGATCAACTCGGAGATAGAGAGGTTCGATCTGAGCGAAGCCGCAGAGCAGCTCGAACTCATGGCTGCAGAGGTCAAGATGGACAAGGGCAATATCATCGACCTAATTCAGAAGATAGAGACTCGCGTCTCAAGCCTGCAAGACGGCGCCAGGGGGAAAACTGAGCTGGAGTGTGCTGATGCTCTGCTGCATCACGGCAGTCCTGTACGCCTGCGGCCAACAAGCATCAAGCTGGAGTCGGGCTGCGTATCAGAGACTTAAGGCTGACTTGCTAATCCAACCAAATAATCTTTAGAGGCCAACTCAGCATCTGTCTGTCACTGTGCTATCTGAAGTAAAGCCTTATTTTTTCATATATATGTTCAGGAACCTCGAAGAGTCGACTTCTGCAGTATGGCCTGCGTGAAGTGACTCGACTGATTTAATGTCTACATCTTTGTTAATTTATTCAGTTGCTAATTTTGATTTTAATTTGTATAAAATTGCAGAATTATTTTATTTTCTACTGTTTTTTTAATCTACTGATCATGAGTGATTATGCATAGAAAAACAACCTGTGTTTGGAGTGTCACTGTGTGAGACGAAGTATTCCCGTCCGAGTCCGTATTTATGTTGCCTGATTAAAAATTTACTGTACAAGTGTGACTGTTTATGGTGTCAGTGGGCAAAGCGCCGGAGTGACAATGCAGGGGAAACCTCAATTGTTCACGCACTGCATATATGCTTACCTCTGCGAGKGTGCGCTCTGCTGATGTGGGGAGTGATGCAGATAAACATCCTGTTATGAGTTGTAAGTCTCGGGATGTGCACGCCCAGTCATCAGATCTTCACACTGGAAGAAAAAATAAATAAAACCCACAGATTAAAACTGTCTTTATTGTCATACAGCTTTAATAGATCTTCACACCATCTTTGGAATTCGATAATTTATACATTCTTTGGACTTGAACTTACTCTGATTGACTGAAATCTAACCCTGTACTCTGAATAATAACAATAATGATGATGATGATGTTTGATTAGCTGTGGTGGCCATGTTGAATGGGGCTGACTTCATATGTTAAGTAGTTGTAGATTAAATTTGATAACTTTTTGAGAGTTTCAATAAATATGTCCTGTGGTTCACTATATATATATAT